ACTTATTCACGGTGCTAAATGACGAGCTGGATTGTTATTTTTAAATCCTTTATATTAAGTTCACTTGCTTGCTTGCTTGCGCGCTTACGACCGTGCAAATCTTTCGGTCGTTTTTTAACCCACTTCCCGTGCAATAACGCGGGCGCTCGCGACAACGCGACAACCTTGCGCGGAACGTTCGACGCGAAGCCCGACGTTTCGCTCCACGCCGTACTTCATGCCGAGCAACGCGCGGCGCTAACCCATAAAAGTCTCACAGCGATAAGCTCGGGCGACGACTTTAATCAATTATCTATCCTCCCCAACACCCCCCCTCCCCAAGGATAATACATCCTCGGACTCATGTGGCACTTGAAGGGCCAAGGTGAATTTTATGGGTGAATTTTATTGTTGAATTTTTGATTACTTATCCTTTAAAATGATTTAGGCAGATTCATCTCTCAGCGTGAAGCCAAATTAATTTAATAGACGCGACATTTTTTGCAGCATTTTGTAGCGGGGATAAACGCACGCACGCACGGAAACTCTACATATTTGCAGTGGGTGAATTATTCTGGGTTGTAGGAAAGCGGTGCTTGTGACAAAACCACAATAAAATAAAAATTACTCACGTGTACAGCTTCTAAACTCTTAACTAAACTTTTTTTTTTATCATACCAGGTAAGGCCCAATAGGCGATACAGCTCATTTTCAGTAGCGACCTGGTCACAAAAAATCGCCTCAACAAAGTTGCTCAACATGTGAATGTGAAGATTTATAGCAGCCAAATACTCTGAACACATGTTGATTCTAAATGTTGAGGGACAAACCGGAGGACCCAGAAAAAACTCCACGCAACCACGGGGAGAACGTGCAAACTCTAAATGTACAGGCGTCGTCAGGATAGGGATCAAACCCACGACCTCCTGTACACCAGGCGAGGGAGTTAACATTTCCTAGCCACCACGGCGCCCTGCCCTGCTAGTCAGCATGGATTGTTAAAGCGAGAGGGTGCTCAGGATCGGTTTGGACATCACAGCGACACTGACGTTAGCCGTGGCTGGGAATGAAACTCTTGCCGCCACGGGGTTCAGAACGCGGCGCGCTAACAGCTGCGCAGTTTGACAGGCGTCGGGGTCGGACCGAACCCATGGACCCTCCGGCACACCAGGGGAGGTAGTTATCATCTCGCCACCCTTGATATTTGTCAGCTGCCCGACTCCTCGTGTGTTGGTCGGTCGCGACGCGGCGCCCCGCGTGGCCTCGTCGCCAAGCGACAACGAAAACCCCACGGGCAAAGACGCGTTCGACATTTCCACCTATAAGCAATTAAATATCGCCCCATGTACGTGTCGCGTTATCCGCGTGTTGTTGTCTTATCCCCCTCACCACCCTCCCCGATAACACTGGTCAACAAAACAAACACATTTTTTTTCTGGCCTGGACTTTTGCAGCTGTTTTAGACTAATTTCAGGGTGCTGATTCTAAATCTGATCTCAGATTTGCTCTATCACATCTCATTTTATGCTATCGGCATACCCCATTTTCATTGATTTTACCCGAAATTAACTCTGTCACTTATGATTGCAAGTTGTTGCGAGTCAGTGACTGCTTTAGTGTTAAAATATGGTGCTGTATTTTTAGGATAGTGCGTTTATAATATCATTTTATGTAGACATCCACATTTATTTAATATTTTTCTTCTGCAGTTTTTATTGAAAATGCAATATTTGATATCTCAAAAACCTGATGTGATAGACAAAAACTGATGCCAGATTTGGAATCAGCACCCCAAAATTACATTAAAACCGTTGGAATACCTTATGTCAGAAAAAGTCTGCTGACCAGTGTAATCAACGATTTGACTGCACTGTAGTTGCTATCACTGGCCATGATGTCGCAGCAATTAGTTGCAAACAGAAATTAACTATTGTGTTTAATGTCATCGTTGATATCGGCAGACGATTCCGCATCCTTGACCCCACGACACCCACTCCTCCGTCCCCAGGGATGCTGCGACAGATTTCCAGGCAGGCTCGCACCAACTGCGTTCTCTCACCGGAGATGCCCTCCAATTAAGCGTCGAGGGCTGCACATCTATTTATTTATTTTAAAACACACACGCACACACACACGCGTCGAGCCGATGGCTTCATTGCGACTAAACGTGACGGCACTCCAAGGGACCGGAATCAGGCGTGGCGCGTGCGAATTCGCGTGCCGGGAGTTGCCCTCGAGTGAAAACGACGAGCGGGTTGGCATTAGAGAGAGCGAGAGGGGTTAGAGAGACACACGTTCAGGCCGAACGTTCGCTGCCCCCGTGCTCTCGTGAGTCGAGTCTCACCGCGTGCGCCACGCGCCGATCAGGCGTGAGGCCGCCTCTTGTGAAGCTGCAACGCCGCTTTAAGCTCGCTGCGAAAAACCGGCTCTGACTCGAGGGCGAATGCCGGACGTCTGCCGCCAGTCACTGTGTGGGTACCGCCTCTCACCGGGCCGGAGACCCCCCCTCCTGGTGCCTGTACAAAATGCACACTAACCAGGCCATGCTTCAACCCCCCATATGAAAGATGCCGTGCCACCCGATTTTGCACAACCCATGCCAAGCCACCCCATTGGCCCACCCCCCCACCCCCCCGAGTTTCTAGAACATTGCTCCCTTCACTTTGCTGTTCGGATATGGAACTGGCTCCCTGATGAACACATTGTGGGCAAAATCACTGATTCCGGTCTTCAGGCCTTCAAATGCCGACCACACACACACACACGGGACATCTCCTAACTTCACCGCACGCCTTATAGGGACTGAGTCTTTGAGCTGCAGTGAACCAATGACGATGCCGATTTGATGTACTCATGTCTGATGTGGCTGTTGTTCACAATTGCACTGCGCGAGGAGTTTGCGCTGCGTCGAGACCAGCGGCAGTAACGAGAGCACCGCTGGTGCTGTCGAACACGGGGAGCCCATTCTGAATTGCCCATCGGTGCAGAGAGGTGGCCCAATTTGCCACGAGAATGTTCCGTTGTGGTTCAATGCAGTTCTTCTCTTTTGGTTTAGTCTGTTGTCCTCCCCCCGATTTGCACGGTTGGCTACGTATGGTTGTGCGGAAGAAGTTCAACATACTGTACGTTAGTTAATTGTATGCGCAGTCAATTGGAAGCCAGGATGTTGTTCTGTGGGGTTGGTGTTAAGCGAGGCAGTGATACATTGTGATCAAATAATAATGATTACAGCCCTCTGCCGATCCACTGCTGGATGAAGGCCTCCCCATCTCCTCTCTTCTCCAAAACAACATCATCATCATCATCATCCACCATGGTCAATCCACTGCTTGACAAAGGCCTCCCCTCCAAGTCGTCGCCGTGATTCTGCGTTGCGACGATCCGCCTAGCGCTCGCGCGAGAGTCAAACTCATCGCTCCCTCTCTCTGTGGTGGACACGTACAGGTACTCTCTGGCACACCCCCCTCCTTGGGCTGCTACCCCGTTGTCAGTTCTGACGACGGAGCCAATGTCCTTTGTAGACGCCCGTGGTCTCTGCCCCGTGTCCACTTCATTTTCTTATCGGCCACTGCGACGCCGCCCTCTAACCCGCATGGGTCCTCTAACCCGCGTGGGTCCTCCTCCCTGTCCCTCCTCGCGAGTCCACAGAGTGCAACGTTCTTCACGCTTCTTTTGCCCACTTGTCAAGCCTTTGTTCAGTTCTACAGCCCTCTGTTAATGTCCACGCTTCTGATCCGTAAGTCAGGGCAAGGGGTCATTGTTCACCACATTGAGGGGGGTGGTGGTGGGGGGGGGGGTGAACAGAGCACAGAGCAGACACATGCGCCTTAAACCGTGACTCCCCCGGAAAATCTCGTCAATTCACCGAATCGTGGAGGTAGGGGTGGGGGCGGGCGGGAGGTGAATCATCACGCGTCCGTGAACGACGACCGATTACGGTCATTGTGTTGCTCAAAGTCGAGGAGCGTCCCTCCATGCAAACAGCGGTCGCCCCGTGTGTTTGGCCGTGCGCCATTTGTAAAAAAAAAGGTGATCCTAATACAAAAAAAATTGGCCCAGTTTTTCTCTTAGTAAGGTTCACAGTTTTGCAAAACCAAACCGTGTGAAGATGCCACATCGTGCGCTCTGATTTACATGTCGTTTTCACAGCAGCCAACCAATTTAGCACCGCTTCTTACAGTGGATGGAAGCCTCCCACGTGCAGAATAATTTGGCTTTGAATATGCTCACTGCATCCTCAATCCATTCAACAACATGTAAAGGGTGTATACTTTATTTTTTATCCTGTCGGCAAGTAGGATATGTTTTCAAGAAGGATGGTGTAATGGAATGTGGCGCCGGCGGTGGTATTGAGAGCTCGGGGTAAGCATTTACACTGAGACTTCCTTTACCAGTTGCAAAATATCGTAATAGGTTTTTACCCTTTCAACTGGTACAAAAACTGACACCTTTATACTCTTGATAGTGCGCTGTTTTTGAGTTGTACGCCTTTTGGCATCATCTAATCCAACACCAATGGAGACTAGGCTCTAAGAAAAACTGTCTCGGGTGTGGACCAATCAACTTCTTCAAGGACAGTGCATATCATTATCATTATCAGAGTTGTTTCTTTTTGTTTGCATTTTGACTGCTTGTGTTGTGGTTATTGCAAACATGATCCCTTGTATAAAGGTGTCCGTTTTTGTACCAGTTGAAAGGGTAAAAACCTATTACTATAGTTTAGTTTATGGCTCAGTGAGCACTGGACTAAAAATCCAGAGGTCGCCTGTTCGATTTGATCTCCCGACAGTAAACACCGATGGATTCACCGGCACAGTTCAGTCGATCGGCAGGTCACGTGCGATGGGGTAAAGTGTGGGTACTCCCAAGTGTTCCAAGACGTCTGGTCGGTGTGTGAAAGAGTCGGCAAAAACAGACGCTGCCTTCGCGACTTCGCCCGAGTGGAGGGCCCCTTCCGCCAGCAGCGGTGTGAGCAAGCAATTGCAGCGCTGCACCTTAACCTTTGCATTGATCTTTTGCAGACTGGACGTGACTTTCAATCCCGGAAGACCTTCACATCTTTCGCTCGTTAGAAAATAAAAATAAACAAGCAACAGAGGTACCCACGCCAACTCCGCAACCCACACCGCCGCCACAACCAACACCACCACCGCAACCACCGCCACCACCGCCACCACCGCCACCACCGCCACCACCGCCCACCGCGAGACAACTCCGCCACGGACATGGAGAAGCGGAAGGCGGCTCCGGGCGCGTGGGCGCCACCCTGGCAGCTGCTGCCATCGCTGGCGCTCCGCGCGCTGCTGCTGCCGCTGCTTCTGCCGCCGCCGCCGCCCTTGGGCCCCGCCGTCTTTCGCGCCGCCGCCGACTCCGCCGACTCCGGCGCCGGCCTCCGCTCCTGCCCGTCGGTGTGCGTGTGCGCGGCCGACATCATCGCGTGCGCCGGCGCCAACCTGACGGCGCCACCGCCGAACCTGCCGGCGTTCGGCACGGCCCTCGACCTGGGCCACAACGCCATCGCGAGGCTGGGCCCCTCGGCGTGGGCCCGCAACGCGAGCCGGCTGGTCGCCTTGCGCCTCCGTGGCAACCGCCTCTCGGCGCTGGAGCCCGGCGCCTTCGAGGGCATGCCGGCGCTCGCCGTGCTCGACCTCTCCTCCAACCGGCTGAGCGCCGTCAACGGCTCGGCGCTCCGCGGCCTGGCCAGGCTGCGCGAGCTGCTGCTGTACGACAACCGCATCGCGCGCTTCGACGGCACGGCCGTGGCGGGCCTGGCGAGCCTGCGCAAGCTCTACCTGGGCTGGAACCTCGTGGAGGAGTTCCCCTTCGGGCTGCTCGCTCGCGGCCAACCGCTGCAGGACCTCGAGCTGCTGGACGTCTCGGCCAACCGGCTGAGCTCTCTGCCCGCGGGCGAGCTGGACGCGCTGTCGCCCGAGATCAAGGACGGCCTCTACCTGCACGGCAACCCCTTCCGCTGCGAGTGCGAGACCTTCATCCTGCTGCAGCTGTGGCTCAAGTGGCGCTTCAGGCCCGTGGTGGAGTACACCGACGACTTCTCCTGCTCGTACGGACCGCCGCCGTCGACGGCGTCCGACGGAGGCGACGGCGATGGCGACGGCGGCGGCGGCGGCACGGTCAGCGCCTGGCGCGCCGACTGGGACCGCATGAACTGCTCGTCGGCGCTCGGCGACAGCACGCGCCTGCCCGCAGTGCACGCCGAGGCGGAGGACAACGTCACGGTGGACTGCGGCGGCCGGCGCCTGGCCCGCGAGGGCGGCGGCGCGCGCTACATGTGGCTGACGCCCGGCGGCGCCGCGCTGGTGCCCGGCGACGAGCGGGACGGCGCCAACGCGAGCGTGCGCACGCCGCACGGCTCGCGCCTGCTCGTGCACCCCAACGGCAGCCTGAGCATCGCCCAGGCGCAGCCCAACGACACGGGGGCGTACTCGTGCGTGGTGACGGACGGCGCGCTGGCGCTCAACGAGACGGTCGAGGTGAACGTGACCGTGTCCGAGGCGGAGGAGGACCACCCCTTCAACACGGCGTTCACCACGCTGGCGGCGTGCGTCATCAGCGTCGTGCTGGTGCTCGCGTACCTCTACCTCACGCCGTGCCGCTGCCTCTGCCGCCCGGCCGAGGAGCTCGACGCCGTGGCGGGAGACGACGACGACGGCGCCGGCGGCGGCGGCGCCGGCGGAGGAGGCGGCGGAGGAGGCAGCGGCGGCGGCGGCGGCAACGGCGACGAGTCGACGTCCAACTCGAACTCGCGGCAGAGGAACGACAGCAGCGCGCAGTACTCGAGCCTCAGTGTCACGCCGCAGCACCGCGACGACCCGCTCCCCGGCGGAGGGGGGGCGCCCGGCCGCCACAAGTTCGGCCACAACGGCAGCGGCGGGGGCGGCGGCAGCGGCAAACACGTGGTGTTTGCCGAGCACGGCAAAAAGGAGCCGCTCTCCGTCGTCATCGGCGGCGTCGTGTCGGCGTCGCCGGCCGAAAACCACGGCAAGGGACGCGGCAAATCGCTGGTCGGTGGCGGCGGCGGCGGAGGAGGAGTGGAGCACCGGGCACTGGAGGAGCGGCTCATCAAAATCCAGAGGGTCAAGTCCGACTCGGATTCCATCTGCTCCGTGTTTTCGGATACACCCATCATGCCGTGACGCCACGGAGGGGAGCCGCGGCGGGCGTGGGGAGGAGGAGGAGGTGGAGCGTGCGGAGGAGTGCGGAGGAGTGCGGAGGAGGAGGAGGAGGTGTGGACCGCTCTTCGTCATCGTCGTCACGTTTGGACTTGGGCTCGAGCCTGAACTCGGGAAAGGAAAAGTCGTTGGGAATGTTGCGGACGCGCAGCGGGATTGGAGATCGAATCCGACGCTGGTGCTTGTAAATATTGTGTAATTATATACATACGCACACACACACACACATATATCTGAGTGCAATAGACAAAAGCGTATGTGTGTCCATGCTCTTATTTTTTTGTTAGCTTACGAACGTGTAAGCCTGTATCCCGTCTTTGTTTTTGAAGTTATGAATGCAGAAGTCTACATCGCCCGGAGACGTCTCAGGATGGCACTTAAATTTAAAACACATCAGCCTGTAATGAACCAAATGCATTCCCGTGAACGCAAACAGCCCTAGACGGTTGCCGCAATTGCACGCTGACTTGACCGCGGCGATTCTATTGTTATTTCGTCACTTTACGTTATTTCCTGCTAAAATATACCGGATGTGCCGGTTGGTGGATCACGCAGAGATTGTGCCCGCATGAGACACCCCCCCCCCCACCGCCCCTCGTGTAAAAGACAGTACAGCAAGTAGACACGTGACCCATCTGCGCAGCGTTAGATCGCTCTTCTCTCCGGGTCCCCGCAGATACCTCGCTCGTAAAAAAAACACGCAGAAAAAAAAATGGGCGTGGGAAAGAAAAACCATGCACACGTGTTGGCGATCCCGTAACGCTAACCCAAACGCGCGTTTGTTCTCGGTGGCCTTCTAATCGGCGACGTTTAACGCGTTTCAAAGCCGCATGGAGAACGACGCCGCGTGGCGCCCCACGTGAGCGCGGACGCTTTGGAGAGAAGCGCATTGGAACAAACCTGGCCGGGTTTCTGTCGATCAAGTCCCTGAGCAGCGGGCCACACTCTTGCGCCCGAGCTTCGTTCGTGATAAATCGTCTGCACGGGAGTTTCCGTCGCGGCGACCCTTGGCGGACGAACGCAACGAAGGGGCACGGATGGCGCACTCATGCTTTCCGGGCCTCGCGCCAAGCTTGCGATCGGGCTCAAAATATCTAAACAACAACAACAACAACAAAAAACGCGACTCTCTCGACCATCGAAGGCCCCGGACTTCAGGCGAGGGGGAAATGTGCGCGCTTGAGAAATTCCCAAAATGTGGAGCGGAGAGCCGCCCTTTTTTGGGTAGAAGCGGCGTGAACGCCAAAACCCGCGCGCGACAAACGCTGATGCTCAAGAGGCTGCGCACGGAACTCGTCGCCTCGCTTCCCTAGGCAGGGCGGGGCGGAGGGGGGAATATGAACAGATAATTTTGCTCGTCGCCGCGAGCCACTGGCACCTCGCTCGTATCAAGTTCCGTCCTTCCTCGGCCTCGTTCGATGCGTTCGCAGGCAACGGCGGCCGCCTCGAGTGGCCCGCTGGCTCCAGATCATCGGGTTCTAATCCCGGTTTTAGGAGGTGAACCTCGTTCCCGAGTGGCGGTGAGTTGGCGGTCGAAGCTCCGGTCACCAATGACTGAACACAGGCAGCAACGACAAAATCCACGTCGCGTCGATTATTACACTGGTCAACACACTTTTTCTGGAATAAGGTATTCCAACTGTTTTAATGTTATTTTGGGGCTCTGATTCCAAATCTGGCAGGTTTTTGAGATATCAAATATTGCATTTTCAATAAAAACTGCAGAAGAAAAATATTAAATAAATGTGGATGTCTACATAAAATGATATTATAAACACACTATCCTAGAAATACAGCACCATATTTTCACACCAAAGTAGTCACTGACTCGCAACAACTTGCAATCATAAGTGACAGAGTTAATTTTGGGTAAAATCAATGAAAATGGGGTATGCCGATAGCATAAAAATGAGATGTGATAGAGCAAATCTGAGATCAGATTTAGAATCGGCACCCTGAAATTAGTCTAAAACAGCTGCAAAAGTCCAGGCCAGAAAAAAATGTTTTTTTTTTGTTGACCAGTGTCATGGTTCCGCGCTCGCTTTGGCTAAGTTCCAGCGCTCGGTGATAATATTGCTCTTGGTGGCAGAGTGTACGGGGAAGCTCTGCGCACGACTGTGTTGACCACACGAAGGGTCACTTGAAGGTAGCTCTGTGTTATCCGCTTCCCGTGGGACGCTGTCCGACTGCCGCGCGAGACTTCCCGGGCGGATCCTTCATCTCACGGCGCGAGGGCGACGGGGCAATTCGGGATAATTTGGCGAAATAATAAGTAATATTTTAAAAAACCTTTTTAAACAAACACGCTTTTATGAACTGTACTAGTAATGGCAGAACTCCACGACTCCAGGAAGTGGCCCCGAAGCTTGCCATATAAACGTAAGGGACTGTGGCCAAATACAGCCAACGTCAGTTGACCGTGGACAATTAGACCCAAGCCAAAACAAAACATATTTAAAAGAATGTTTAAAAATGTATGCTTATTTTTCTTTTTTATGATAGAATATAGTATTGTCATCAGTATGACATAAGTATACCAAGTTTGCAGTCGATACCACATTGGGGAAAGTGTGTTAAAATTGAGTTACAAGATTTGAGGATACAACAACGACAACAACAACAGACAGAGTGAGTTAAAAGAAAGCGCGTAAAAAGGGGTCCCCGCCTGTCAGAAGTGCACTGCGACACAGCGAGAGCGATAAACAAACACACAAACAAAAACACTGAGCTCCAAACGGAGGCTTGAACTTCCGCGGCGGTGGTATGAGCTCCTATTGGTGGAGATTTGCGAGCGACAGATTCGTGCCCAGCGCCGGAGTGCCACACTCATCACGCGGCTCGGAGACGGAGGCTGCTGCTGCTGCATTGTGGGAATCCCCACGCATCGCCCCAATACGGTTTAGAGGTTCCCGTTACTCTAGCGCAGAGGTCGCAAACGGGTTTTGATTCCCTACCCGTACCCGGCCGCACCAGGGTCGCAAACGGGTACCCGTACCCGGCCGTACCCGTACCCTACCTGTACCCGGCCGGGTACGGGTATCGGGTACCTGATTGCGACCTCTGGGATGAAGCCATGTTGCAGGCGCGGGTGGGTTCATTCTAGGAACTTGAATTGTGAGAAGAGACAAGACGTTTGGAAATGAGTGACAAACAGTTACTCACCAGTGACTCACGGCCTACCCGTACCCTTACCCGGCTGCACCAGGGTCGCAAACGGGTACCCGTACCCGGCCGGGTACGGGTAGCCGGGTATCGGGTAGGGTACGGGTATCGGGTACCCGGTTGCGACCTCTGCTCTAGCGCGGTGCTTCTCAAAAACGCATTCACTCATCTCTCTCTCTAAATACACTAAACGATTCGGAATTAGCGTGACATTTTTGTTTTACTCAGCTGTGAGGTGTTTTTTTTGTTAGGGATGGGCGGGTGGGCATTTAGATCGTCGGGTTAGGGTACTTTAATCAAGGGTAGTTAACCTCACTTAATTTGTTAAATTAAATATCATAAGTAAAGGTAAAATATTGTCATTATTATTCCGTTGGTGGTACCCGGGACCACATTCTGAGAACCACCACTTGTGTTACATAAAGACCCCCCCCGTGTATCCTGTAACAGACTGTAGGGGCAAGTGCTGTTAGCAAGCCCCTATGAAGGCCGGCACGGCACACGAGGAGGTGGGTGGCCATCACCACGCCCAGCCACCTTTGTCTCCTCAGTGGCAATGTTTACACACCGTGCCAGGTACTCATTTGAGGCGGAGTCTACCTCGGGGAGGCCCAGGACCGGTTCAGATAATCGTCACCGGTGTTAGCCGTGAGCGGGAATAGAACTCGGGTCGCCGGGTTCGTAGCGCAGCATAGCGCTAACCACTACACCCACCGCTCCCCATCTCACGCGCACACACACCGCCACTCACACACTCGCTCGCACAAAACAACAATGCGAGCGAATGCGCGAGAGAGCCAATGCGATACTGGCCACCGTCACCCCCCCCCCCCATCCTTACGGGCCAAGACAGCTTACTTTATCATAATTTAGACGTGTTTTTCCCCCCCAGCAGATCGATACACAAATCGCTGACTTTGCGCAAACGTCGATTTGGCAGCGGCAGATGCTGATGATGAAAACGTTTCACGAGTGCGCGCCCACGAGGCATTTGTATCCCTCCCTCTCGATTCGCAGCGCCAGGTCGCTGGGAAGACTGATTTACCGTGACCGAGACAACGAGCCCTTGCGGTTGATAACTGAAAGGATTCCTCCGGCCGAAAGTAAAGAATCTGATTCTCGCGACATCATCCTCGCGAGGTAGACAGAAGAGGTACGGGCGAGAGGAGACGCAGGGACGATAGAGAGAGATGTCGACGAACGCGGGAGACGAGACGGTGAAATTTGGATGTTTACCTGAGAGAGACCAAGATGAACTACTATTAAGATAGATTGTTTTATTTTACCAGGCAAGGCCAACTGAGCTATGATAGATCTTTTTCAGAAGCGAACTGACCCCAAATGATAGCTCAATGAGGTGGCTTATCATATGGAAATGTATAGCAGCCAAATACTCAAAACGCGTGTTTCTAAATGTGGAGGGAAAAACTGGAGGACCCGGAGAAAAATACACACGACCACAGGGAGAACACGCAAACTCCAAATATACAGCAGGCATCAGGATCAGGATCGAACCCACGACCTCCTGCATACCAGGCGAGGCGGATAACATCTCCTAGCCACCGTGGGCATCCACACCTTATCTCCAAGTATCTCCAAGACAAGGTGTGAATGGAGAGAAGGCAGAGAGACGGAGATATAAGGATGAGAAATATTAATTGCCCAATATTTATTCTCTTTGGTCGATTCGTTAGCATTTTTTTTACGGAGGCCGATGTACAACATCACACGCCTCACCAAAGAGAAGCGGTTCCAGCCATCGCATTAGGGGCGAGTTAATTAAATGCTTGACCAAATATACCAACGGGCAAATTTTTAAGTTGATAATTTTGTATGTCCCGCGAATGATGTTACAAATATCCAAACGGCCCTTGGCAGAAATAAGCTTCCCCACCCCCTGTTCTACAGGGACGCGTCTTCACTAACGGTCCGTTTCGCGGACTTGTGCAGCAAACAAAAGCCAGGTACCTGCGCGTGTTGTTCGGGGCTTGAGCCGCTGCTACTGCTGCTGCTCTTGCTCATCTCTCCGATGCGCTTTCAGGGTTCGTACCACGCGTAGGTCACGACGCCACGTCCGACGTTTCGCGCCGAGCAACCCCGAACAGCGGGGGAGACGCGTCGGAGGGCTGACAAACCCGAGTCAGTGGCGGAACGTGTGGAATTCGCAAGGCCCCAACGCTCTCTCCCCATCGTTCCCGCTCGCTCGTTCGCTCGCCGCACTTGGAGCCGTGCTATCGCTGCGGACTGCAGCTGCGCCGATAAAAAGAAATTACCGTGGAGAAATCCCAAATTTGATGGCCGGTGTTCATAGCTCTGACCTCCTTCCCCCCTCGCGCTCATTATTTCCGTTGGCGATTAAGAGCCCGCTGAGATGCAGCGCTTTCGTCTCTTCGTTGAGAGTTGGGGTGAGCCACAATCCTGACCGTGCCTATGGGTTGCCAACCTCCGCAGTACAAAAAACTGGACGCATCGCGGGGCAGGGGAGGGGGGATGAGAATATCTCACGACCCTGGAAGAGGAGGGAGAACGACGCGTAACTGCGTTGTCGTATGTCGTGAATGTATCCTTTTTTTTTACGCAACTGACAGAAAGCGAAGACTTTTAACGTCCCTCGAAGACCATTGATTTCCCAGGACAGCCGCCGCCGGAATGAGAGGACCTTCCCGCGGGAGAAAAAAACCGTGTTGCATGGCTCAGGTGTGAACACGTTGGTTTGTTGGACTTGTGTCGTGAACAGCTGTTGAACGCGAACGAATGAGACGAGAACACAACATTTAGTGAAGTGAAAATCTCATTGGGCAAGTTGCTATATACACACACACGTAAAATATAAAATACAGGCAGAGTGGTGGCGCAGTGGTTAGCGCGCTGCGCTGTGAAACCCGGCGACCTGAGTTTGAATCACGGCCGAGTTCGGTGGGGAGCGACACCTGAACTGGTCGTGACCGCGTCTCTTCCTCTCGACAAATCCACCAACCCACGTGGTGACCAGCGCGGTGAAGTATGGTCAAATACGCACTCGCTCGGCCCAGCAGGGCGTCGAAGTCTTCGTCCGGCCGTAGATCGTTAAAGGGCTGTAAAATTTCCGTTTAAAGCTTTCGTTGTGGCCGAAACGTCGTGAGAATTATTTTATTATGTTTTATTTTCATTATTTTATTACTTCCCTTCTACGTGACTTTACCGAAAGAACCAGGAAGAGGGGCTGTAAATTGTTATTACGACTAGTGATATTCTTTTGAATTACTTTCTTTAAAAAAAACCCACATCAAACCCCATCATCACGTCATTATTTTCATGACGCTGCATGATAGTATGCCACGCGGCTTTGAGTACTATCTGTATACCTAAAATAAATATATATAATGTACTGTATTATATGAGCACGAGCTGCACAACACTGATGTAATATTCGATTGTAAGATGGCATTGACTGATGTGAAACAAGGACTCACAATAAGGTCGATTTTGACGATGTTACCGCGTTCTCCTATCGCTGTCAATGAACAACGTTGTGTGTGTGTGTGGGGGGTGGAAGCTGCCGAGCGAAACGCGGAACATTGTTGGGCCAGACGACCGGCTAACGTTGAGCCAACGTTCAGCCAACGTTGAATCTACGTGGGGGATCCAACGGTTCCCAGCCGCGTGCCAACGTTGGCACGCATACAGCTGTCCCCTTTGGTTATGTACGAACCGTGCCCATGTACGTACTGCGTTTATGTTGTTGATGGACGTCGCCACCCACGCATTCATTCAAACGGTGGAATTGTACATGCGTCGTGTGTGTTTAACGTCCCAAAATCGCTGACTGGTATGTTCTTTTTTTCCCCCATTCTTATGTTCGCCTAGATTTAAGAATGCACAAGTACTTTCGACGAGATAATCAAATATGGAAATTATTTATTCGGGATTCGCTATCGCACCCCGCTGAAGGAGGACACATATCTTTAGCAAATGAAGAAAGTTCTAAAGATGATTTTTGTTGTGGTACTCTATGTGCGTGGTATTATTTTTGTAACGTATAAACGCGCCCATTTTACGTCGATCACCATAATCATGTCACTGCCATCAATCACTCTAAATATAAT